TAATTCCAAATTGTACTCAAGGCCATGTGATTTCCTATACAAATAATGCTTAGTTGTACAAAATTATACCAAATGAATTCCTTTCTTTTCTATTGCATATATTTATTTTGCAATATTATTTCCTTTTCTTTTCTTTTCTTTTTTTAGTGTTTGCACTACAAACACAGTGAGCAGTACATAGTTGTGATAAAAATATAAATTATAAACATGTACTTTGAACATCTCCTGACCTGAGTATCTTCTCCTACACCTTCTAGCTTTGGATCAAAAAAGAATAGAATCTTCCTAAAATCTTCTCTTGTTTGAAACAAAGCAAATGACAGGAACATGAGGTAYAGCACACTGCAGCCTGGAATAAGAAAAATGGTGCATTTTCAAAATATTGGTTCCGACTCCATCCTCGGGAACCCAGGGGTAATCTWCTGTCGTTCGTTCCTCACTCCCAGAAAAAATACCCCTGGGCACAAAGTCTGTTAGACCTTGTTCACGATTCGAAATTCAAAATGTAAATTTTGTAAATGTAAATTTCTGATTGGTCGATTGATTCATTCGAACATTCTGATTGGTTGATTAACTTACTGTTGATAACCCCTGGGTTCCCGAGGATGGTTCAGACTCATACCCAGTCATTACGCTTTATTCTTCAATATGTTTGAAGGGGGCAATGGGAAGGAGAGAAAAAAAGTTTCACACTCCTGAAGAGAAGCGCCTCGGTACAAGTCTGTTTTTAAGATTTCTGTGATCTCATATTATAAATTTTTACATTTAAGAAGGAAAACACTAAAGATGATCTCCTCTAGATTCTCTTATATAAATTCATATTTTACATMCAAAAGATGTAAAATATTTATATAAGAAAATCTAGAGGAGATGGCGTCTGATGTGGGTTGATTAACCACTCTCAAGAGAATTCAAGACAAGGCTCTGAGGAAATAATAGATCATAATCTTGTTTCCAAGGAGCCTTGTCATTTAGCTCTGTTGTTTATAGCTGTTCAACCAGAATACAAAAGTAGAATAAGGTAAGTATAGATTACCAAATATCAATCTCCAAACTGCAGGATGTGGTCTGACAAAAGGRCCTGAAACAAAATCATAGCAACATCTTCAATAATCAGTCTTCACTCTTGTTGCTTATTACTATAGCAACAATAGGACTTTTCTCAGTAGCTTAGCCTGTGTACAACTGTTCCCAGTCCTYACCCCYATGGGGAAAATTTTTGGACTAGTGACAAAGTTCACCAGTCAGCATGTRTACAACTGTTCCCACCCCTCACCCCTATGGAGAAAATGTGGTGTTTATTCATAAAGTTTACTGTTTGGCATGTGTGCAACTATTCCTACCCCCTCCCCCTATGGGGAAAATTTGACATCTATTGATGAGGTTTACCATTTTCTACCCCTCCCCCCTTTGGGGAAAATTTGGCATCTAATGATGATATTTACCATTTCGCATGTGTGCAACTATTTCTACCCCTACCCCTATGGGAAAAAATTTGGCATCTAATGATGATATTTACCATTTGGCATGTGTGCAACTATTTCTACCCCTACCCCTATGGGAAAAAATTTGGCATCTAATGATGATATTTACCATTTGGCATGACAAGAAAACTGAGAACAAGAAACACCACAATAAGAGACACCACACCGCTGTAAATATTTTCATCTCGAGTTGCATCTGGATTCCTGAAATACGGATACACTGCATTAGACATAGTTATAAAGAGCACAAAAGCTACTGTATTAAAATCAGCTTTGTCAAGGGAGGGGTGAGAGAGTTAATGACTTGAAAATGAACTTTCAAGAGAGAGAGGGACTAAGGTAGGGAGATGCAAAACAAAATCATTTTCATAGGGGAGGGTTTAGGAGAGAAGATTGACATCAGCTGAGGGAGATAAGTAGGTTTAAGTAGGAAATGATTTATCAGGTTTGACAGGGGAGGGGTGAGAGAGTTAATGACTTGAAAATGAGCTTCCAATAGGTAGAGAGATTCAAAACAAAATCAGTTTCATAGGGGAGGGGTCAGGAGAGAAGATTGACATCAGCTGAGGGAGAGGAGTAAGTAGGAAATTATTTATTGAGGGAGCTAATGTAAGAGCTAGTGTTCCAAGAACTAAAGGTTATTGTTTGGGTTGGAATGCCTTGGACATGCACCCACCCAGCCCCTTCAGAATGTTCACACATTTTATAGCACACTTAATATATAGTATAAACGTGGGAGCAAACGTTTATCATTTGCAAGGCGTACAGTAATATCTACAATGAGRCTATTCAGAGAGATGACATCGCAGCATGCGATCTTATATTAATCTTACGTAATGTCACAACAACCTGTGCTAGTCACAAGCAAAGACATCCTTCAAAACTTGACATATTAAGTCTGAAATCTGTCTCATTGATACAAACAAATGATCACTGGAAATAACTTCAACATGATATCTTTATAAGTAAAACAATATGATAAGATAAAAACAACATTWTTTAGATAGAAAATGGAATAGAAGACGCTGTTTAGCCGGTTATCTTCAAAAGCTTTTGTTTACAAACCTCGAAAAAGCTGAATACACCAGATATAGAAACAGGCAACAAAGAGCGGTAAGCGAACGGGGCTTGTAGAAGAACTCTAGAGTCACATCTTCGACTATCTGCTCGCTAGCGTCGTTATAGTCGTCAGAAGAAATAGTCGAACAAGAGGAGAAAGTCCGCTTCCTTCGACCCTCCGCCATCTTGCCTTCTTTCGGGCGTGTCGTTGAGATGAGTGAGACTGGGACTGGTTTTTCATCAGTCGGACCCAGGAYTTTATCGGCCTCTTTTCACCAGGATTCAAAATGGTGGTGAGTGGTTTTCGACAAGAAGATTTTACATCATTTCAATCCGTGATCATCCAGCCTTGTAGATCAGAAATTACATCTTTGTTGAAATAAATGACTTTTATATCAACCGAACAATAGTTTCACGAAATTATTTTGGTCGCGATAAGCTTTTATGGCGCTATTTTTACGTCAAATTGACACCAACCTTCACGTTGATGGTTCATAGTGTTTACGCTAGTTTTGTTTTCGTGTGGCCTATGTTGACAAAGATATTTAGTGATATAGTTGGATGAGAAAAAGAAATTGTCAGAATGTTTCTTTTTACTAATTAAATTATCAGATATAACCTTCAAATCACGAATACTTTTWAAAACAAAATGAACATCGTTCCAAATCTCAAACTTTTCTTCTTCCAACCTCTCTCATAGCTGAATGGCTGAAATATAATACCCCATTTCCATCAAATAAGTTTATCAAGAGTATTGTATGTGTAGAACATTTTTCATATAGTCTTGGAGCTCACAGACGCATAAAAAGTCGGCAATAAAACCAACACACTGCTCTCCAGAGAAAATTAACCATTAGTTTATCTGGCTTTTAGGGTGAAACCAAGTCCAACGTTATGAAGGATCTGAAGATCGCCAAGTTGGTACTCAATGTATGTGTTGGCGAGAGTGGTGATAGGTTGACCCGTGCAGCCAAGGTCTTGGARCAGCTTACAGGCCAACAGCCTGTGTTTTCAAAAGGTAATGTTTCCCATTAGAGCTCTTAGAAAGAGAAAAAACTCTCGTAACTAAAATAATAACGTAGAAGGGCAAAAAGTAATAGTAAGGTTGATTAGTGAAACATCTTTTTGCTTAAAAAAGCATCTGTTCTCACAGTTATTTTACCAGTCAAACTTAATTGACCAGTTCTTCTTTTGTGCTCTGCATTGTCTAGTCTGTTACGCATTAGATTTATCATATTATTATTAATTTATTCAGCTCGCTACACTGTGAGATCTTTTGGRATCAGAAGGAACGAGAAGATCTCTGTTCACTGTACTGTCAGAGGCCCAAAAGCTGAGGAAATCTTAGAGAAGGGTCTCAAAGTCAAGGAATATGAACTTCCMAGAAGCTGCTTCTCAGCAACRGGCAACTTTGGCTTTGGAATCCAGGAACACATTGATTTGGGCATCAAGTATGAYCCCTCCATTGGTATYTATGGAATGGACTTCTACGTTGTCCTCTCTAGACCAGGATTTAATGTAGCATACAGAAGGAGAACTAAGTCACGCGTTGGATTCCCACACAGGCTCACWAAGGATGATGCTATGAAGTGGTTTCAGCAAAAGGTACAATGATTCTTTGATTTGATTGGTTCAAAAGGTCCCATGTAGTGTCATTCCCAGTTTCCCAACAGAAAATCAAAGACTCATTCATGACTTTCAAAAATGRTGTGATATGTCGCGTTCGGTGACTGGGGTAGTAGGGACAGAGCACTAAAACAAGGTCTCAAAGGCCAGTTTCCATACATGTAAACTTTGATGGTGTCTTGCAAGAGTGTCTTGTTATAAATAACATACCAAAACAGCATTCAAATTTCTGGACACTACGTACATGCAATCCTCGTAGTGATTTCTAGATGGAAGGCCTTTGAGGTCTCGTTTCCATGATTTGTTACTAGTCCCTTATATAGGCGGACGTGAACTGACACCATTTTTGAAAGTCGTGTATGTTGGAAACCAATGATTCYTTGATTTGATTGGTTCAAAAAATCCCATGCAGCACAATTATCATACAAGCCAGACTGTCTCCATCCAGAGCCTTTGATTTTCCATTGGGAAACTGAAAAGGATCTGGGTATGAGAGTGGCACAGTGTTAAGTTGTTCATGATGGGAAACACATTAGAGTGCTAACACTAAAATCTCAAAAAAGTACAAATCAAATAGTGCTAAATTTAAGAAAYATAAAACAGCGCCCGTGTCTGTCCTCTATGCGAGTGTTTCTCTTGCTTCTCAAGTGTTTTTCAACTCCCACCATGTTTATATCAGAGGACAGAGACACAAGCAGCCATTTTATAGTTCTTTTTCAATTTTTTATGTGTTTTTGGAGCGAAAAACAAATCTTGCCGGTAAGCCGTGTCTCTGTCCACTCRTGTAAACACAGTCGTCAGCCAATCAGAGCACTTGTGATAAATCAAAAATTTTATAAAGCTCAATATAGAGTGTTTTTTGTTAACCTGTGAAATATTAGCACACATCTCACTAAGTATAATTCTTACTGATGCCTTTTTATTTCTTGTTTCAGTATGATGGAATTATCTTGCGTAAATAAAAACCTGTACATCTACTTGTTGAAATCTTGAAATAAAATTTACCCACAAGAGAAAAAACGTGTTTGTGCTCTTCTTTACTGTGGTTTTCAAAAACATATTACACCAAGTGCTGGTTTATTTTATTTTTATTTTATTATCTTTGCCCAAATTACATAAACAACAACATTAAAAACAATATCATTACAGCAAATACAAAATAATATTAGGGGCAGGGACACCGCAACAGTTTGAGCCAATTACTGCGGGTGAATAGCGCTATCCACCATAAATACTTATTCAGCAGGTAAAATCCTATAGTGATCGCACTTAATCCGTGCAACTGTACAAATTTTAAGTAGTACTAATTTGTACTAAAAGTGGACCTGAAGCAAGACGGTAGAGTGATCGCACTTAATCCGTGCAACTGTACAAAATCTAAGTAGTAGTAATTTGTACTAAAAGTGGACCTGAAGCAAGACGGTAGAGTGATCGCACTTAATCCGTGCAACTGTACAAAATCTAAGTAGTAGTAATTCGTACTAAAAGTGGACCTGAAGCAAGATGGTACTGAATACTTCATTTGTATCAATTGAATTTAATTTGCGTACTGCGTGCACGTTTTTTTTAAATACAAATAAATAGCACTATTCAGTTTGTACAGTTGCATGGATTTAGTGCTTTCACTCTAGCCTGTGTAGCGGCCATTTTGAACAGTTTACAAACAAGGTCCTCCCCTCTCCCCTTTTTTCCTTTTCCCAGTCCCCCAAGAGCCGATACGCAGGCTAATAAAATCCATACCAAATGTATGGAGTTGATTACTTTAAAGGGTTGGGAAGCCTTCATAAAACTGACTCCAAGAAGACAAAAGAAATTGTCATACATTAAAGTGTATTTCATGGCTTTATGAAAACTTATCTAATAGAGTGAACGCACTTAATCCGTGCAACTGTACAAAATCTAAGTAGTACTACTTTGTACTAAAAGTGGACCTGAAGCAATACGGTATAGAATGCTTTATTTGTATCAATTAAATTTGATTTGCGTACCGCATGCACGATTGACTGAATACAACTAAATAGAACGATTTAGTTTGTACAGTTGCACGGATTAAGTGCGATCACTCTAGTACATTGGGCTTGAGCAGAGAATGTGCTCTAATGTCTGCAAAGATACATGTATAGAGATGTGTTTCCTTCAACCATGAACGAATAGTACACTTTTTAATTGTTATGATAATTTATTTGTTTCACACTGTTAACTACTAAACGTATTATGTATTTCTTGTAATTTCTGAATAGTGTTGTTGCTGACAGCCTACCATGGACTCTTAGATAAAGAGTTTACATATAATTTTATATACTGATCTCCAAGAAAATCGAGATTGCATTATAGCATCCAAAAAAATTATAGTATAAGAGAACCCTGGCTTTGTAGCCCCTGAACTGCAACTCTTTCTGCCTGTTTTTCCCTTCTCTCTTTTTCATCTCTTTTCATCTTTTATCCATTCTCCCTCACTATCAATACTTCTATATCAACTAATGAAYGTCTAAAGCAAATCATATAATCACGTGATCATAGATGCCAAGAACTAATTTAAGAATCTCTCTGGAATATTTTAAAAGAGATAATATTTCTTGTGTCTTATTCACCCGACATGACTTGTTTTTATAAAAAACATTTCTTCACATTCAGATCATGTTTCGATCACGTGACTACGTGGCATTAATCACGTGATACGATGGTACAAATCCCTTGATAAGTGGGCGTCAACTAAGCCTTTGTAGAAGCCGAGCTTACAGAACTTCTAGGAGTCTGTTTCAGCAATGGATTCAAAGCCTTTATCGAACCCTTAGAGTTCCCTAAGTATGTCTGAATGGCTTTCTTGACGTTGAAGGTGGACTGGGGCGGGAGCTGGTAAATTTCAATCAAATTCATTCGGTTCCAGTCGTTCACGGTTCGTTTGTAGTCTTCCTCCATTTTTCGTTTATATTTGTCGTCGTGTATCTTCTTCAAATCGGCTCTGAAAGAATTTGAAATATTTTTTTTGGAAACGTGTCTTT